AGCGATGTTCCCTACCATCCAGTGTCTCTTGCAGAAAGAATGCTATCAGAATGAAATAGCTTGAAATTCTGCTTTGATGGCGTGCTTTGTACTTTTCTTTCCTTTGGAGAAAATGTCTATATTTTAATAAGTCCCAATGAGGAAAAGGCTTTGCTGTAGGGAGAAATCTTTCTTTAAAGATATTCTGACATGTTTTTTGCTGTGTTTCAGTCTCTTTTTTTGAGTGGGGCAGCTTGTTCCAAAAAAAAAATGACCCCCTTTCTGCTGCAGATTGCGTCTCATTTTGGAAGAGCTCTAGGAACAGCAATCGCTGTACCTCTCTCTGCTCTGTTCTGTCTTCTTTCAGCACGTAAATCTGGTAGCGAATCCCTCAATTAAAACCTGAATGGGAACTCACGTGCTGCACAGACCTGGCTTATGCCAGGCCAATTTGTTGCAGCCATATAAAACATTCTGTCCCAGTTGGACAGCCATACTAGGTTTGCTCCTTGCTGCCACCAGTGATGTCCTGACCTGTTCAGCTGCTGTTACGTGTCCCCAAGTACCAGACCTGAAGGTCCCAGTGCTGTTGCCAGAGGTGCTGCTACACTGTGGAAGATTTCAAAAGGCCACCAGTGTGAGGAGCAGGAGCGAGACGGCTTTGTTAAAAGGCTCCAGCTCATTGTCGTGCACATTACAACTTAGAGCTTAGACTTTCATCCCCTGAGGAAAAGGCATTGGAAACTTGGTATGTTCCTCTTCCCCTTTGAAATAAGCATAGTAACGAGTAACTCGGTTGGAAGGCAGCTCCCCCCAGCTTTTCCTCTCTCTCTCGAGGTGTTAGTTGTATTTTGTTTATCCTCCTAACAAACTGAAGTAACTTTTTTTGAGGAAAAATCAAGATGGCTGAAGTGCAGGCCAGACCCGCTGCTGACACTCCTCCCCACCTCGTTCTTCTCCTGTCTTTTGGAAAACATGCCCACAGCCATCTCACACCTGACAACTCTCACCAGCTATGGGCTAAATGGTGCAAATCGACCCAGAAGAGAACACTTTGTTCTATTTTTACCCAGAAGAGCATGCAACAGTATGGGTAGAGAAGAGGAAAGCTAAACAACTTTCTGGAGCTAGCTCCAGACAGGGGTTACCTATGGGAACACTAATGACTTTGGAGAGTCTGCAGAAAGGCTGGAAGCGAATTGCAAACTGGGCAGCATAAGCTGCTGCAGGACCATGAACACTCTTACAGCATGCTGCCTCTCTCATTGCTGTGACAACAAAACTCATTTGAAAACACAGACTGTTTTTTTTTATTTCAAAAGATGGTAAATTGACTTTCAGTGATCAGATTGAAGCCCCCCCGAAAGGGGAGAAGGCAACAACTAAGCAGCACCAGTCACAGAAACCCAATATGTACATTCATGTTCTCCTCCTTCCCGTTCACTCTCTTTGCAAGCACAGTCCTACTCAATCAGCATGCTAGAAATGCACCACAGAAAGTCTCTTTCCTACTGGGTGGGTATGAGTGCCTGTGGCGGTAAAGTAAACTTTCTAGTATGTTTGATGTATCCTGAATATATCTGCATGCAAAGCTAATATGAATCCCAGTCTAAGGCACCACTATTGTAAAAGTCACTAAAATACTTCTTTCAAGTTTCTAAGGTCTTTCCTTAGATTTTACTACTCGCTTGTTACTTCCTCTCAATAAACAGAGAGAGAAGATGGTAAATATTAAATGCAGGTAAGTTTCAGCTACTCAAATTATCATGTGCATTTGTGGTTCACACTCAAACACCAAGAAAAACACAGCACTTCCCAGCATACAAATTAACCGAGCTGAATAGGCATACCTATTTCGGGCACAGCTTTTACAGCAGAACAGGGGGACTGTGCTACTTGCCAGAGCCAAACTCACAATCCCATCTGTATGCAGTGGTAATGGATGTGCAGTTGTGTGCATCTATCTTTATATACCCATATATAGTTTAGCAAAACTTCCCCAACAGAAACTCCATGCAGATTCACGTCTCCTATAAACCGGCTAGATCACGCAGTGAAGACCTGGGTGGGGAGCACAGGCATGAAGGGGAGGGACAAAAATTTCTGACACCCCTTTTCAAAGCAAACCAGTAAACAAACAAGGGAAATCAGAGGCTGCTGAATGCAGCCAAAGTGTTAGTAGTGAATCCAGTTCTACGCCACATGAAAAAGGCCCCCACAAACACGTCAGCATCCTGAGCCTGAAGGGGAAAGTGGCTGCAAGTAAAAACAAAACTGACTCACCTATTTTCCTTGTCTAGGATGAGAAAAAAAAAATTAGAAGATAAACAACTCGGGTAACTCTTGAAAAGCAAACTGATTTTATAAAACTCCCTTTTCTAGCCACCTTCAGTAAAGTGGAATTATCAGCCAAACAAAATTTACTTCACTTTTGAAATATGATTTTTAAGCTTATAGGAACCCTCAAAATAGGAAGAGGTCGGATAATCAGTCTGCACCCACAATCAGCAACTATGGGACCCAGTATGGCAGATACAGATCACCACCTGAAAAAAAGAGGAATATTGCACTTTCCTTGCAGCAACAGGCAGGTTGGTACATGCTGGTTTCATTTAAGTAACTTTTATCCTTCTGGAAATCTTATTGCAAAGTGTTTAAAGAGATCTTGAAAGAGGGAAATGCATACAAATAAACTGGATAATGCCTCCCCAGCACTTGGCAAAATTTCAGAGATTAGTCATACATTATGGCTGTGTAAATTTGGTCTTCGTGTAAGTGATAGTGTTAGTTTCTACCCACTCCAGATTTAAATCACAGGGGACGAAGCTCAGACATGCAATGGTTGATGTACATCCTCCACTGTAAAATGCACGCTTACTGATATATCAAAGGGAGACTGTTCTTCTCCGAATGCTGAGAGAATGACTGAATTGCACATGCAAATGGGAACACGAGGAGTAGATAACTGAAGAGATGAGGAGTTGGATCCCAATCCAGCAAAACAAATATTTAGAGTGCAAGTAAACCCTGAGAAATCTTGAAAGAAGAATTGCTGGGGCTAGATGGTCGCTGGATTTCAGATCTAGCGGACCGAAACCATGTAGCTTAGGCTGCAAATCAATGGGCTCCTTCAGAGCCATCAACATTTTCTGTTCCCAAGACCATGAGGGCTCTCGTTACTGTCAGCTGGAGGGGGCGGGTGGGTGTCAGCTCTTCTAAATGTGGACGGAGCCTCAGGTAGCAGGCTAAGTTTACCTCACTTGTATAGCATTCATCCGCACCTTTGAGCATCAGCACCGAGTACCTTCCCCTGATGTGGAGGAGAAGGTAGGAAGGCAATGAGCACAACAGAGAGAGAGAATGGACAACAGCAAAGAAAATGGGGACCAAGACAGGGTCACACCCATACATCTGGTCCTACCAACGTTGGCCTCCTTCAAAGAAATAGTCAGGAGCTCCAAACTGGGAGGCAAACATCGTTCAAAACTACTCCCTCCTGGTTTTTGGTACTGCTTGATGATAAAAGAAGGGAAAATCACCACATTTAGACAAGGTAATACAGGACAACTAACTCATGCAAAACGTTGCAGCCTGGATGGTAGCCTACACACTTTAGAGATTAGCGGAAGCTCTGAAATGCAATTTGAGCAACTTCCTTTGATGTGCCATCTGGTGAATCATTTACTGGGAATGTCTTAATCACATCAAAGGCATCTATCAGTGCACGCGGGTTTTCTGTTTAGGACTCTGCCTGTATATTGCACTCAAGGAACAAATATATTAATACGAAATTAAATTTTACCGCAGTACTTTCTCCCACAGTAATAAAAAAAATCTGCAGCATATTACCACTATGGCCTCAAGCACTAGATTTTAGAAGAGCGATATTTCACTATTACCTCAAAAAGGCTGCTACTCTACAATCAGCCTTGCTCGTGCTTCTGAAGATTTGTAAAAATAGACACACATCTGTGGTATTAAAAAAAGCTTAAAAGCATATTCTCCTATTGAGGGGACCCCATTGGCGGCACGCTCTAACAGCAGTAACATCCGCTCCTCATACCCTAAATGGAAATCCCATTACTACCCGACTCCCCCTCCCTAAATCCTGAGGCTAAATTAGGGCAATATTTACCGGGGGAAAAAAAAATCTTTCTGGCTACTAAGTATAGCTTTAAAAACCAGAATTACATTCCCAGAAAGCCAAGGCCAGGTTATACCTATTTGCACGTGTCAATCTTGTCTTGCTGCTTAAACGGTTTTAATTGTCTTACCCTTCAGCATCCCCCCAACGTACCCCACGCAGCTCACTGCTTTTTTATGACGGCTAACAGGACCCCCGCAAAACTACACAAATCCCAACTACCAGGCGCCCAAGGCAAGCGGGGGCAGGAGGCGGCTCTCCGGGGAGGGGAAC